TACGAACGAGCGCTGCCGCCAGAGCTGAAATCCAAGTTGTACTTCTGGCGACCGGGCGATGCTTTGCCCGAGGAGCCTCTGACGTACCTGGAGATGGAGATCCAGGGAGGGCGACATGATGAACCCGCAAAAGAACAGATTGTTGAGGAAAATCGCTGCAAAAATGTTCCCTGCTTTTGAAATGTTCGTATTTCACTATCCCAAGGTAACAAAATCGATCTTCAGAAGTCTTCAAAGTTGGATGATAAACATTGTGGATCAGTGTGGTGGTAAATGGTTTTTTGTGTCCCCAAAAATCTCCAAGAAATGTGTGTTTTAGATCCGATTAATTACCCAAGTCATCCCAAAGCTGTTGCTTTAGCAGGGTTTTCTAACCAGCGATGATATTAGCGATGATCATACTAAAAAATTAAGCGTAAGTATGCTCAGTTTTCCCCTTTTTGTTGATCACATCTTGCAAGAACATGACATACGCCCTGTTCTGACGTTGTGTAGCCCATTTTTGCGTGTTGCCTTCCATTTTGGTTGATTATGTGACTATGTGCAGTACATCCTCATTTGGGAGAATAATCTATGGATCCCTATGGTAAACAAACATAGCTATGGAATGCTTTGGAAATAGTCCAGTTGTGCAGATGACTTACAGGGTATTTACAGTACCTAATTAGTTAAAATTGTGATTTTCCACAGTTGTTTTGAATTAGCGAATGGTATTCCTTGTAATTATCGTGATACTTGGACAGTTCCAGTGCATGCTTGAAACTTGGCCGTCTTCCACCCAAACGTCGGGGTTCCTGTTGGCGCTTGGCTATGGAAGATTCCAATTCTTATCCACGGTTGCTTTTGTTGGCAGCAGGGGGCTGTTTACCATTCATGAATATTCACCATTTCAATGAATCAAACCCCTTCAACATGACCAGTGTGCATAAATTGGTCCAATGCCAATGCTGTTCCGGCCTCAGAGTTTCGGGTGAGGTACATCAAGACCACCTACAACAACCAACCCTTTCCCTCAGAGGATTTGCTGTCTCGAGGTCGTTACTGGGCACGTTACAAGGGGCACCCGAGAAAAATCGACCTGCGGAATCAATCATCAATCCTAATCTTCAGGGTAATCAATCATCAATCATTAATCATCAATCATCAATCATAATTTAATCAATCCATCCTAATTGATCTAATTGGGGATTTGTTTTGTGGCCGGTCAGGATGAGTCAGGATCCGGTCCGTTGTGGGATGGCCTTTAGGATCCAGTGCAGTGCGCAGGTCCGGATCTGCTGGTCGATGGCAATGACATTTGGGCTCCACATTTGGATCCTGGTCCCTCGGTGCTCATGGGGCATTACTTCCATTTTTTGCATTGGGGAGAAGATCAGCATAGATAGCATGGCATCCCAACTTGCTGACCCCAACTTGCTGAGTGATTTAAGATATTGTGGTTGAAATATTTTTTTTTAATATAGATATACTTGAGACTTTCTGCCCAGCCTGCTGAGGTACTGGATACATTTGATTCTGAAAAACGTGGCCAGGAATATCCCAGTTTTTAAGGTACTGTGAAAATTCAGAGATCAGGATCCCAATGAACTGCGCTGTCAGCCTTGGGTATAAAATATGTATATCTATGATATCACTTGCCAATTACTGTCTTTACTGCATAGTAGTCCCCCAAATTGAACAGTAATTTACATCCTATTCTAGCAGGATGTTATACGTTTCTTTTATCGAAAGTTGCGTTTCTTTTTATTTTTTTCTCGTCAGCCACCATTAACCCAGAAATGTCTCAACAAATTAGGAGGATACTGTATACCCCCAAATATGTAGCTACATCCCCTTACAACTTAACATAGAAACTCAATTTTAAATCACAATGTTTTTTTTTCCCGAGCTAAATATATAGGTAAACCATGGACTTGGTTTGAAGGCGATGGAGAGAGAGAGAGAGAGAGAGAGAGAGGTAAATCATCCATTTAAATGGACCCTGGCGGCCATGCCTTCTCACCACTTCCAGGCCCGGTGACGCGACGCTTCCAACGCGAGCTGACGGCCTGCCATGAGTTGCAACGCCCGGCACAGCTGGTTGTGGGGACCTTGGATTCAGGCGCGGCTTCTATGGCCAGGTGGTGGGTGAATGGTTTGTTTTCATGGGATTTGAATGGTGATTTAATGGAAAACCATGGGAAAACCATAGGCGCATGGTGATTTACCCTTTGGCAAACATACAAAAAACTATGGAAAAACGCCACTGTCATAGGTAAATCAACTATAAATGGGCCATGTTCAATAGCTATGGTAAACATTGGTAAACTATCAGAGGGTAATGCCATTTTTTCATGGGACTTAACGGACTTAATCAATTTTTTTCAGAGTATGGGATTTCGTGGCATTCTACCTTCAGAAACGATGGTGATTTTTTAATGGGATAAACCAAGAAACACTGTTTTGTCTATCTGAGTTACCATGGGAGCCAGTTGGAGCTACGAATTGAGTTCCCAACCACATGATAGATTACCCACAGGATCCATGTATGGTATATATGCTAACATTTGGGGTATATTGATGGTAAATGTTACCCTATATATATATAGCATACATGGATCCTATGGATTATAGAAAGTGACTAAAGCTTCTGGAAATGTGAGATGGCATCAATGGAGCTATGACATGGTATGACATCACTTGTGCATTGGAAATTGGATATGTTTTTTGCCAGAATTTTATCCATCCAGAAGCACATAAACCAACAGCTAAAGGCCTGCACAGCCAGGACGAAACGCATCCCAGGCCTAAGAAATAGGGTTCTCGATTGAAAAACTTCAGAAATTGAAGGTCGTGGAAGATATGCACAGGTTTCTCTTGAAATACAAGTTGTGTCATGTTCCATCATGCCCTCGGATGTGTATCTTCCATATGTGTTTTCCAACAGTAAGTGAAATGACTTAAGACTTATTGGAAACATATTTTCAGTAATTATTGAATTTTCATGAATTTTCCAATATTTGGGAATTCCACGATTTTCCAATAATATGTTCCACCAGGCTATGTTTTTTTTTTAGTGGCTCAACATGGCTCAACCACCGTCGCAAAAGTGTGCTGAAAAAATCAGGTGATCTCTGGACATGTGACCAGGCCCCTGGAAGCCGCTGAGCAAAGATATGACTTTGGGTTTCCATCCAGTCATGGTGGTACCCGGTGGTACCCCAATAGCTGGATGGTTTATTTCATGGAAAATCCCAAACAAAAAACTGGATGGTTTGGGGAGAGTGATTATCAACCAGTGGATTTAGGAGCAATTAGCCTCTTTTCAGCAACGCATACAAAGGTGTAGTCCAAGATATGTAGATACAGAGTCAAACTACCTATAAAAATCAAGAAGAATGTCAGGTTGCACACCATGTGCCTTCACAGATGTTTGACATAAAAATGGTATTCCGCAAGCTGGTGGACTGAGCCTTCCAAGGTGTTCCGGAAGGGTAAAGCTTGGTAAACGCCAGAGTTGGCTTAATGTCTAAAGATGTCTCAAGCCTAAAGTATTCTAAAGTCACACTTGTTGAAGTAGCACTTTCAAAGAAACCACGTTGTTTTTTTTTAATGTTTGTGTGGGGGTGTCAAAGGTTCGCCATGCATATAACTCTAGAATTATTGTTGATAGGGACTGAGTCTTGGAACATGCATTGCCCTGGCCATCCCATTTCTCGGGCGAGGTCCGAAGTGCCCCAACCTACATCAGGCAGCCACGCTGTGGTATGAAGGTGCCGTTGCACGTGGGCCATGGTATGAGTGTTGGGGCGGCTGGGCTGCCATTTGGCACAACCATCTTGGGGCAATATCAAATGGATATTTTTTTTGCAAGTTTCTATGTTCTTCCCCGGCCGGGCACAACGGCCTTCATTGTCGGGTTGACTTGTGAAATGCACAAGTCCGGGCAGATTTTAGCCACAACCCTCTCACACTGCTTACGGGGTTGAAAATGCGGTTTGTAGAGGAAAGGAGGAAGGTTACCAGGGGATGGCTGGCAACAAGTGCATCATGATAGAAGGCAAGAGAACAAACATTGATCTCGAAGTTTCGTTTCTTGCATATGAATCGGAGAACCCAGTGAAATATATCCAGTTAAATATATCCTTCAGATATTGCATGCCTGTTTAAAAGCGAGTGTTCTCCGTTGGATCGTATGAAGCCTCAACCATCATCCATCATCATCACCACTGAATCACCACCATGACCACAGCCATAAACATTATCAGCACCACCATCATCATCATCATCATCATCATCACCATCATCATCATCATCATCATATTCTTCTTCACCAGCATCATCTCCAACTCGAAAAAGGCTCTAATCACAAGTGCCTCCTCTCCGTCGCCAGGGCTGAAGGTGGTCCCGCTGCTTCAGGCGCATGATGTGTACAGGACGTGGCTGGCAATGCCGAGATTGTTGCAGCGATGATATTGAAGGTTGATGATGTTGATGGAGATGATTTGGCATGATGATGTTGATGATGATGATGGTGCTGCTGATGATGATGATGATGATGATGATGTTGATGCTGATGATGATGATGATGATGGTGATGGTGGTGATGGTGGTGATGGTGATAGTGATGGTGATGGTGATGGTGATGGTGACGGACCGAATTGCATTGAATGAAACCATTGGCATGAAGTGGGGTGACACGAAATGAAATGACATGATGTTACTAGTAGTGAAATGGAGCATCACAGATTGAGATGACATGGATGAATACCGCATGAGTCATGGATGAATGAGGAAGTGCTTAGGGGTAATGGGGTAATGGATGATAGATTCTGATAGATGATTAGTGGATGATAGGACAATGATAGTGGGTTCGTGGATGATAGATGATAGATAGGTAATCCAATATCATGATTAGATAGATAGATGATGGATAATATAATGGATAGAAGATAGGTTAGATAATGATAGGTAATGGCTTTTGTTCCCATGGCAGGAACGAGGAAATGTACGAGCGAGTCATGGGAGACATCGAAGACTATCTTCGCACGCCCCCGGGGCATCCGGATTTTCTGGAGAAGTACCAGGCAATTGCCGTGAACAGCCGGCAAATTATGGATGCTGGTTGCCCAGTTCAGTGATTTTTTGTGCTATTTTTTGTTCATGACATTAAGTTGTTCAGTCCGACATGTTTTTGTTTTTTGGAAGTTTAAGTGTGCATACATATGTATATATATACACGTGTGTGTGTGTGTTTGCTGTTTTCATATGTTGAGTCAAGTCCCATCAGTCAGGACTCCTATCGCAGCATGATCATTCGAACAGCACCTTGTCTCGGAGTTTGCCAACATTGATTTGCTTGGGTGTTCATGGCATGCTGGAAACGATACTGAATTCCAGTGCTATTTTGCCCATGGATATCTAGCTATGATACATGTGATAGTTTTTTCATGCTGTTTCTTTGTTGTAGGTTGCAAACTATAAGGACCTTGACTACATTTCCACAAACCAAGAACACGTTCTTCCTTTTTTACAGGTAGAATGCATCACATGATCCGTGGGTATTCCGCAAAAAAGATACAGGGCAAGCTCTCTATTGACACCCACTTTTTATTTTTGATTGTATACGCAACACCTCTTGCTTTGTTACTTCATCAGTTTATCCTTCCATACTCATTGGTTGCATGTCCCAATACTGACAGCTGGGAGATATCACAGACGTTCACGGACTGTTACGCCCAACCGCAACCACCTGACCCAACTTGCATCTGGGACATCTCCAAGGAATGCATTAGCACACATAAATTAAGCACATGGTGGGGCCCCCTACATAGTTATAAAGTCATAAATTGGTTCATAAGCCCATCTAACTATAGATATATTATGATATATTATCATATTATTATGATATATTAAGATATTATTATGATTTATTATGATACTAACTATAGATATATTATGATATATGATCTTCCCCACATATTTCCCGTAAACCCATATAAACCCCATAACTTGTGGGAGTAATACACCAACTTCGCTAGCTTCGGGGGCGCCACATTGCATTGCAGCCTGGGTGCCTGCCTTGGGTCTCTAGTGGGGCGCCTCTGTGAGGCGGTTGGATAGACTTAGACGGCTTCGCCCAGTATTTTTGGGGAAATACTAAGGTCTCACCATCAGTAACTGGTTGGTGGTTTGGAACATTTTTTATTTTCCATTTCATATAGATGTCATCCTTCCCATTGACTTTCATATTTTTCAGAGGGGTTGAAACCACCAACCAGCAATGTGTTTTCCAATTTTGTTTACAAATCCACTCTGAATCCATCTATGTTTCTTGATTAACTCGATGGACACTGCATCAACTATCACAAGTCCTATGAGATCCCCAGAGTTTTTGAGACTTCAGTGGCTAACTCCATCTCAATCCATCCATATCTCACATTTTGGTGTCACCAAGGATTGCTCCCAAGCTGCGGCCAGCTTCATGGCTGGGCCCCGCAGCATTTCCGCATTGTCCGCCAAGGCGGAGGTGGCGCTGGCAAAGTGCGGCTATGGCGCGGCCAAGGCCAAGGGAGGAAGCTTTGAAGTGGAAGATCCGTGAACCTTGGCGAAAACCATGGGGACCTGGGGGTGTCAACCCGGTTGATTGATCAACAGATCAACCCCAAATTACGGCTGTTTTCCAATGGGTACCAGTTAACAGCTGATCACGATTTGGCGAGTAGCCTGTTTTTCCCCCCTAATTAACGATGGAATATTGATCTTGGGTTGACATCAGTATGGTGAGATAATGGGGATAAGATGTGGACAACATGGGATAGTGGGATATACCCTCTGGTTATGTCAAAATAGCTATTGAAAATGGCCATTTATAGTGGAAGTACCCATTAAACATGGTGATTTTCCATAGCAAAGTGTTAACGTTTACCAGAGGGTAATAGGGGGAAAATATATGGGAAACGATGGAAGATCCAGATGTTCAAAAACCAATGGGATGATACGGGATACGGGACAAGTCGTTACCACTTTGAAATGAACCTGTGGATAATAAGTGGAAGATCCATGATGAAGTTTCAAGTGGTTTGAAATGGTTTGAAATGGTTTGAAGTGAAATTTCATCCAGTGGTTTCCTTTGGGGTGAACTAAGAGGCAATTAATAGATATGGGGATAATCCCATGTGGGGAATCGGATTTCACTTTCAAGAATGGCGAACCACTTATTTGGTTTTGACTACATTGCACTTGGCGTAATGTAGTTTGGATTGATGTTGATTTTCATGTGTTTTGACTTTTGGACATCTTTTGAGATTTGTGTTTAAATCCATGATCAATGGTGTAGATGGCGGGGTGATGTGGGGCCCGAAAGCATTGGTTTGTTTCTTTCGTCGGGCTGAAAGTTGGTCCATGTTCACTATATATATATATAGATGAGGGAAACCAAATGGATGTTTTAACGGATCATGTCTACAAAACAATATGCAATGATGCTCCTTGCCTCTAAAATAGCCGCATAGCGTTGGCTAAGTTGATGTATTTTGAGTGTGCTCACTGTAGTCCGTTGACACGGTCCCCAAAGTCCCAAGTGTAGTCCGAGGAGCTACCCAAGGCTTCACCTTTATCATCCAGTTTAGGGATGTTATGGGATGTTTAAGGCTGGTTATGGGAGGTTATAATCATGGGATGTTTACTGATCATAGTTTACTGGAACTATGGGGGGTTCCAATCGATTCCAATCGGTTGTTTTCCAGTAGTTGGGATCCCCCCTGGCCCTGTTAGCGACTTGACATCACCGAGTCGTCCCAGTCGTCCAACAGTCCAAGGTCACTGGGGCTTCCCGCGCCATGCACTCCTGGCGCTGCTCCACGTCCTGAACCCCATGGGGAGTCATGCCTTGGGCGATCCTGACCTGTTGCGTGGCTGTTTGTTCTATGGCCTTTTGGCAGCGAAGAAGCCATTGCCAGAGGCTGGGTGAAGCCATTGCCAGAAGCCATCGCTTATTGGGTGATTTGGAGATGGGGAAAAAGCCCTGAAAAATACAGATAGCCATCAATAAATAGCCATAAAAAGTCATCAATAGCCATCAACAGGACCAGGATCCTTGGGGATGGCAATCCATCAACAGCGCTTGTTTTGGTTGTGCGTCCCCGGCAAGCCCCGGTTGAGGTCCCAAGAGGTCCCAAGAGGTCCCAAGGGTCGAGATGGTTTTTAGGAGCTGTGGACCGCTGAACTTCCAGAACTTCTTCAGTTGCCGTTTCGAGGAGTCTTCCTGGAGGCCCTCGCAGTGAATGACGCAGTGGATGACTTGGGACTTGGTAAACAAACATGGAACAAACCAAGATGATATAACCAACATTAACCAACCAACAAAACATATCACTTCAGGTTTAGTCATGCGATGTCATGCGTATCAATCCTGGTGAGTTCACGGGCGATTTCTCAAAGAAAAGTTGCTATTAGTCGAGTGCCAAATTCAAGGTCAATGACTCAATACTTTTGAGATGTCTAGTGTATCAGGTATGGATAGGTCCCAGAAACTGCATGTCTTTTCTGGCGAGGCAGCGAGAAACCACAACATACCATAACACTATATAACACTTCAATCATGAGAAGATTAAGTGTGGCGGACAGTTTACCTTGGAGATATTGAGCCACTTCGAGAGGGGGATAGTATCTTTATATCACGCTGCGAATGTGTCCTGTGTCAGGTTCTGTTCCCAGTCGCCTCACTCGAAGCTGCTGCAGCTGCAGCCGCCTCTGCAACAGCACTGCTGGGGAATGACTCCAGAGAGTCCATGGAGCCAGTTGCCTGGATTGTATTGGATTGTAGATGAAGATCCGAGATGTTGTCAGATGATCTTCATTGATCTTCATTGATCTTCATTGATCTTCATTGATCTTCAGTCTAAAGTCTAAAGATTGTTTTACTTGATTTTACACTATTTTACTTGGAGCTTTGTTCCATAATTCCTGGGTTCCCCCTGGGCCGTTGCACCCAAGCGTCCCTAAACCCAGGCCTCCCTCATGGCAACGTTGAAGGACAGCTGGAACCGCTTCGATGCCACGCTGAAGGACTTGGACATCGCAGATTGGGAGTTGAAGGCCCTCCGAAAAGGGGAAGTTCAGGAAAAAAGGGATATGTTGTGTGTTTGACAATGATGTAATATGATGCCATTCAGACGTTGTTCATCGGAAAACTTCTTATAAAAACACACAGATAATACAATATATATACATATATAATATTATATTTTTATTTTTCTTATTATTATTACTACTATTACTATTATTATTATATATACTATATATAGAGGAAACAAAACACACAGGTAGCCTATTTTCTGTGACCGCCTGAGGCCTGGCTCCAAGAGCTCACGGCCATCACCTCACCGCGGGCCCTCGGGCTGCCCGACAGGTGGCCTTGGTGGCGAATGGTGCAACGCAGTGGACAGCTGCGATACAGCAGGTGGCAGAACATGTTGGATGGGCAAGGTGATGTGATATATATATATATAGAACCATGTATATAGAAATATGTATATAGAAATATGTATATATAAATATGCTATATATATATATGCTAACTGTAAATACCAGTCAAAGTCAGAAGAGGGTAGATTTTTTTTGGGGGTACCATATATATATAATTACATACACATATAATAATTTGGATATAACTATATTATATTTTATAGTTAGTATTGTATAGATATCATTTAAATGCCGACGACTACTAGACCTCCTGGGCAGACTGCGCTAAACTTTCAGGGATGTCGGGGCATGTGCTGTTCGATACCCGGTACCCATCGGTACCCGTGGCCTGGGAAAAGCCAAAATGTGTGGGTAAAACAATGGTTTCATCAACCACCCATAAAAATGGGAATGGTTTATATATACCACCTATAAAAAATGATTAAACATGGTGATGACTGAAGGATGGTTTATTTTCTTGTTTTACCATGTTTTACCCACATTACTTTGATTGACTGAATGTTAGGGCTTGAAATGGTGTAGGGTCAGCTGGCCTTGATATTCCACATGTCGTTTGTTTCGCTGGTCAACTTCGGACCCGCATCCAGTGATGTGCAGATTTTGCCTTCCCCAGGCAAAAGGGGTGACACAGTGAGGGTCCATCATTTACTTCCATAGTCCCTGGGATCAGTGAAGTGCCTAGTAACTGGGTCATCCATGATTTCATTCAGTTTGTTTATCCAACTGCTAATTTCTAACCTGGTAAGTACTCCTTTACTCTATGCTTTACTCGTTGCAGGCGAGGCCTTTTGGAGCAAGTCGCTTCTTTGAGGTGAACAGAGGCCATCATCAGGACGCAGGTGCGGCAGGGGGGGTGGTGCAATGATGTGTCTCTTATGCTCTCATGGAATATTCCCAACAAATTCCCATGATATTTCCATGACATTGCCACTGTATTCCTATAACATAGGATTTGCAAATGCTGGTGGTTTTGATTCTTCTGCGGCCCCGTAAAAATCCCTCCGTGCTGACCTGTACGGGCATATGGTTGTACAGGTTCCATCAGGTTCCCAAGTATGTAAATAACATATAATACCATGTCAATGTGCACATTGAATCTATTATTATTATTATTATTGACGGAACTAAGGATTGTTATTGCCAAAATATGATTCCCTGCACATCCAAGCAAGGGATGGTCTTACAACATTCAAGATAGTCAAGACTGGAATACAGGGCTTTGCATGGCATCATTCAATGATCATTCCAGCAAAGGGTTTTGAATGCCGAGTTGGTCTTGGAAGTTTGTTCCAATGCTCAGAACGGGTGCAGCCTGGCTCAACTGGAGAAACTGGTTTGTACTTTGCGTTGGAGTTTCTTGGGATATGCTTCAAGTGTAGCTTTGCCAAGCGGTTGCAGTCAGAAGTTTTCGATTCCGCAGTCCTCCAAAGTAGGGGACTTGAGGGCGTTGGCACAGAAATCCTGTCAACGTGGCTTCTTGGGGCTTGTGGCTGCAGACCATAGCGTGATGGATCCTACACTGTCTCTGCAAGCTGCGGGACTTGAAGATGGAGACCGCCTGACGGCTATTGTCATTGAGGCAAAGTTAGTGGCAACAGCAACAACTTTCGCCTTGTTTTGCTCTGGAGGTGACCGAGTTGTCACATGGGGCCAGGAATATTTTGGTGGTGACAGCTCTGAAGTCCAATATCGGCTGAAGGGTGCCCAGCAGGTTCAAGCAACTGAGTGCGCATTTGCTGCAATACTGGGTGATGGGTCAGTCGTGACTTGGGGGCCACAGGCTTATGGTGCTGACAGCTCAGCAGTTGCAGCCAATTTCGCATATTTGTAATTATGTAGGCGCAAAGTCGCCCTTGACTGCAAGTTTGAAAAGCCCAAGATGCCAGGATTGACCTGTACTGTAGCAAATGCAGTGCCGTATCCAATACAACGTATTTATATGTGTCTCGAATGCTTGATCCTAATGGAAGGGTTTAGAGGACAACTTACGCAACACCATGGTGATTACCCAATACAGGTTTCAACATTAAGTTTCCCCTTCAGCATTAGATATCTACCTGATGTTGCTTAATTAAACATGTTCCATCTACTTGCCAAGATTGGCCGTTCTACTTGTAATGGATTATGATAGCATATGTGTTCGCAAGTTTTTGCCATGAAACTGAAATGGTGAACTTTTGGTTTAAGAATGTTTAAGAATGATAATATGGATCTTAGTGACATGGTTTAATACCCTGCTTTGCCACATGCACCTCTTGCCGGCAGGCTCGAGGAGCTTCCAGCCATCGCTGGCCGCCGACATCCGCTGAGCGGTTGGAAAAAAGGGCGCAGTGGCCGCCGACATCCGCTGAGCGGTTGGAAAAAAGGGCGCAGTACTGCGCAGCACTTCGATGTTGGACTTGGTCGGAAAGTTGAATCGAATCCCCACCGGCTATTTGCTGTGGCTTTTACCATCTAGTTATGACTAACATAGCCATGGAAAATCACCATTTTAATAGGTAAACCATCTATAAATGGGCCTTCTATACCATGGCTATGTTAAATAACCAGATGGTACATGGTTTTGCGTTTATCCAACCAGCAATGTTTTTTTTTGTGGTGGTTTGTGACCATGTTTGTAGATTATCGTTTCTTGTCTACCTCCAGGAATTTATAGGGGGTACAGTACCATTCAGAATACCAAAGATATGTACCATGGACATGACATGTTGCTTGTGTGTATCTAACATCTCCAGCTATTAATAGCGGGCAGCAGCTAGGCAGCTAGGCCGCTGGCTGATGGCAGCATGGGCTGTCCCCCTGCTCGACCAGTATCCAGCAGACCATCCAGCCAGGCCTACATCGAGGTTTTCCGGAAACTGAAGCATCGGTCAAGCTGAGCTAAGCTGGGAAGTTACTGTGTTTTACTGTGTTTTACTTGCCATGTGTGAGGGGCCTTGATTCAAAACATATGAATTCATATATGGTGCCTCACCAGCTGCGGGGTGCGCAGCGCGAGCGCGCGAGCATTTAACACGTGCGCGCGCGAGGTGCGCGAGCAACGACAGGCGCGCGCGCGAGACGTGCGAGCAAATAGAGGCGCGCGCGCAAGGTGCGCGAGCAAGGCCAAGATGCGCGCACGTGTTCGCGCGCGCACCCGCCCGACACGAGGGCGCGCGCAAATAAGCTCTCCAAAAGTGGATTTGGTGAGCTTATTTGCGATTTGGAGAGCTTATTTGCGCGCGCGGAGAGCTTATTTTGCGCGCACGCGTGTCGGACGGGCGCGGTGTTCGCGCGCGAACACACGCGCGCATCTTGGCCTTGCTCGCGCACCGCGCGCGCGCGCCTCTATTTGCTCGCGCGTCTCGCGCGCGCGCGCGCCTGTCTGTGCTTGCGCACCTCGCGCGCGCATGTGTTAAATGCTCGCGCGCCTGCGCGCGCACGATTTCAACGGGAAATGTTTCATATGTTTTAAAAAATGATATTGCACTAAAATGCCGGCCAAATATGACGAAATTTTGGTAGGATCAGCAATCAGCCCCGCTCTCATGCACTTCTTTGGCTGATCAATGCTGCTTGTTTGGATATGACTTTACCACCAAGATGATGCACCACAGTTGATGGAGATATTTTCATGGAGTAGAGTAGGACGGAGTAAACACATTTCATAGTGAGCTATACATGTGGCAACACATTTCACAGTGAGTAAACTCCAAAGATGACAGGCGATAAACTTGTGTAGATGTCTCTTTCGGAAAAACAGCCCTTGAAAACAGCCGGTGCCAATCGAAAGCTACAGGTTCCAGCATCCAATTAACATCCGGAAGTTTCACCAGAGCTGTGCTCTTTCCAAGCGCATCAGGTGCAGGTTTTGATTGGAGAAAAAGCGCAAAATGACCAGGGCACGCATTCCTTTCTGGTAAACATGGCCATGATGGCAATGGAAAAAAACTCAGTTGCTAGATAATTTGGCTATTGGAAATGGGATCGGGTCATAGTTTGGATAGGTAATTATTTGGATGTTTACCTATTAAATACCTATATCAATCATAGACTAGTCATAGATGTATACCATGGCAGGATGCATTTTGTGCGCAATCCACATTTGGTGCCTTTAAATTTGCGGCCAGTTGCCCGGATGTTTCGGCTGCCGGATGGTCACACAATCATGATTACATACGACATACTGTGGATGGAAGAAATCCTGCACCAGTTGGTAGATGGTGTATCTCATTATAACAACATTATTTACATTTACTGTGTTTCGTATAGTTACCACTAGTTACCAACTGGTGCAGGATTTTGTCCATTCACAGTAGTGATGCCCTTCTTTATTTACACAACATATGTAATGTCAACCCTGGATTAATAAACCCCTAGGCTGTTTAATTGGGAGGGTACCATTTAAGTATCAGTTAATGACTATTGGAGGAGTACCCCCCCTAATTAATAAACCATTGTTTATTAATCCGGGGTTGACATTTATATATATATAATGATTTTTGAGTCGGCATATGTTTCTATATATATATATAGTGATCATTGTAGTTAATTATGCATGCAAAGATTTTACCGACTATACATGCTGTTTATACATTACACAGATGGTTGTTTTCTTATAATGATTATACTGAATCCAAAAATAAATATTATGCGTCAGACGGGCAAAAAAGAACAAATCTCCATTCTCATCACTTCTCAATCAGCCACTCAGTTTCCAGCCTTTCTCCTCAAGGACAAATCATGGTCATCAGATTATTCAACACTGTCCAAGCAAAAGCAACAAACCAACCAATACTGGCCACATTGCCATTGGCACAGAGTGGGTGACCAGATGTTTCCTATTATGGGTTGATATAGGTTGTATATGGTTGTAAAATATGGCGATTTCCTAAAATGATGGTACCCCCAAATCATCAATTTTAATATAACTTTCCATTATAAACCATCCATTTGACGAACCCGCATTTAGGAAACCTCCACAAGTCCTTCTATCGAACTTATTGTCCTGTGCTTGCTTCATGGTGTGCATTGTGCGGCGATCTTGAGGTAGATTTAGCTGCCGCAAATAGAAAAGAACATCGAAACCGCATCAGTAATACACAATGAAATCACATCAAACCAGAGTTTTGCGTTTTATACAATATATATTGATGATGATAATATGTATTTATATCTATGCGTGTCTGTGTGTGTGCGCGGTATATGTGGTAACCACCAGTAAACCCCTGTGCCCTTGGAGCCGCTTGGAGCTATGCCTCTTGGCGGAAAGTGGCTGGGGAAGCTGACCATGCTAAACGGCGAAAGCGGATACCATCCGGTGTTCAAACCATGGCACTGGGACATATCTATGCGATCATAATAGGTATTTAATGGGTAAAAACCATGGTGTACCATCTATATGAATAGTCTATGATTAATATATATATATATAGGTATTTAATAGGTAAACCATGGTATACGATCTTTGAATGGGCCATGTTATGCAATCGGTTACCAGGGTATGTGTCAACGTCCACCCCATGATTGACCCCCTACCTGGACCCAAAGTTGATTCACCAATCCCTATGAAATAAATCGGAAAGTTCATGTGGAGTTACACTTTAAGTGGGTCCCTGGTGTTTATGCACACATTTCTGAACACACTGAATCACACTGACATCTCGCATCATCTCACTTTGAGAATTGATTTCCTGAAAAAAATGCCGGATGCATTGGTTTGCTGCCACCGACTGTGTGCACGGCTTGGGCCACCATGAAGCTGGTGGTGAATGGCTTGGGCAAAGAGATTTGTGAGTTGCAACTGTCGATGGACTGGCCACTGAGGCTCCAACTTCGGGAAAATTTACCACAAACACCCACTGGCTTTGTATATTTGCCTATGGTTTAAGATGGTTTCAGACATGTCGCGCAAAGAATGCTGCAAATTGTCCAAACAAAATCAACGCAGTGATAAAGTTGATGGGAGCTTGAGACTGGAGATACTGAGCTTCCAACGGATTTATGGCATGCTTGGTGCCCATCTCTCCTCACCCCATTGGATCCATGGGATCCATGGCGAAAACGATCGTTGATTTGTCGTTGTCGCATGTCTTTTTGACGAGAAAACTAGTTTGATAACTAGGATTTATCAAGTCAGTTGTTTAAGTTGTTCAATATATGGTTTACGGTAATGATAGTGAATTATTGATTATTTATGATCGTTTAATTACATGTATCAATTATTAACTAACTTCGATCCAAGCTCACTCCGTGGCGTGGGGATGCTTTCCTATAGCAACGTTGTTTGGCTATACTCTTGTCATTGCCGGTATGGTTTATCATCGTGGTATATCGTGCTGGCATATCGTCCTATTTTGGCTGACAAATGGCATGGTTACATACCCCTGAACAAATTTGCATGGAACCATGCTGAAATTCTAGCAGTGCATGCTGATCATAACCCATTCCTGCCTCACCCTGTTGAACTGTTGCTGGTTGTGGTTTCCAATATGTTTCTCCTTAAAGCTTCAACCCTAGTTTAGGGATGATGATCTCCAATTAGATTCAATTGGCTTATTATTTGTTTGTAACGTATTATAAATTATAACTACTATTTCTAACTCGCATTACCAGCCATTGATCAGCCTATCTATGGCTGCAAGGTGGCCCTTAGCAATGCTGAAATGATCAGCCCCGGTGCCACAGGCGTCGCTGAAATGAACGTACACCCTGAAAACTGTTCTTTTGCTGGAAATTTGAAATTCATCTTCAATATAATCGCCCCATTTGGCAGGGTCTCTGTTCATGTATTGGAAGGTTTTATTTTATATTTGTATGTATATATATATATATATTCAAACTATTACTATTTTTATATATTATGTTGAAGATATTTTGGAAAGCCATTTGGTCCTGGCTGGTGGTATGTTGATGCATTTTGAATATATGTGGCCATTTTGCTACAGGGAAATTTGTACTGGGCAACTCTTAGCGCCCGATGAGCAGCCTTTGGTGTGTTGGTCTTAGAGACAGGTTGCGAATTGTAAATTCATGTGCGTTTTCGGGTAGTGGTTTGAACATTGTTTGTGTTTATCTTTGGTATGATAAAGCCACAATTTATATAAATCAAGTTTACAAAAACAAATTGGGGCTGGTTTTAGGTGGTTTGAATAGGATTGTTTCAATATGGCGGTGCCACTTTGTGCTTTGCACTTTTTTGATCATCAATGAGATGCCCTTAAAGACCCGTTATATGTAGATGTGTGCGACATATAATTTGAGTAAAGACATTTTGTGCGTAGCCTGACTGTGCTGTAGTTGGGTCCTAGTGGCTGGCCACTTTTCATAATCGTACCCCTTGTTTGGTCTACAGTCCCCCGTGGCATTTCTACTCAAGCGGTTGCGAGGTCCGGAGGAAATGTAGTGGATAGAGCAACGGATCCAAACTGCATGGACCAAGACCCAGAGACCTTAGGAAGCACAGAAACTCTGGGTGCAAGCCAGTGTGACTTTGATGGCTATAAGTATCGAAATAACCTCATAAGTAGGGATATAATCCCTACAACTAGTTGAACTGCACCCCCAAGTCTGGTTTAGTCTTGAATTTTTGCCCATTTTGGGTCCTATGTAGGGAGATATTCTTGGAGGGAACGCAGATCGTGTCATCAGCATGGCTCGCAGCCTTGCGCGGCAATGGTTGTCTTCCTGCGCAGTGTCTGGCAAAAGACGCTTGAGAGTGATGCATTGGAAACTTGGATGATCCGGAGGTTGCAGCTTGGTGGGTTGAATTTGTGCATTTGTTTCATCTTCGCTATTGATTTCATGGAAGGTTTCAAATCACCAGCTGTTCCATTAGTCCAAGAACGGGGCCTCCGCCGTTTTCGTCAGATTCCGAGTGCGGCTTGGGATTGGGCTGAGATTGTAGCTTGCAATTGGCCAGGGTTATGTTCCGAGCATCTCTGCCCCAAGCCTCTCGGCTGCTTACACACACACACACACACCCACACACACACGCACACACTAGACAAGAATGGATCATTATATGATCCGGCAGGAACTGAATCCTGAAACATGCAAATCTGATCCTGAATAGTTTCCACGTCCACGATCTTCAGCAAAATATGCCAAATACGTCGGCGACATAGTCGGCGAAATAATCCAAATAATCGAAAATACACTCGGCGAAATAATCCAAATAATCGAAAATACAATCGGCGACATGATCTCGGCGAAAATACTGAGGAAGGTTCTGATGCATCTAAAACAGATTGTGGCAACCGTGAAGAAATAAAACTATAGTGTTTGGGGTTCTGAGCTTGGCCCCTTGCTATGTCAGAAAATGCAGGTACGTCATCCTGGCGTCCCAGAATGATTTCACACTTCTCAACAGGCGTCTTCGTTGGCCTGAGTCCTGTTGAGAAGCCTCAGGCCCCCTGCATTAGGTTTAAAAAGGGAGAGGACAGAAGGAAGAAAAAGAGAGAAGTTTTACATCTATTCAGATGTTACACACACACACACCCGGCCAGAGCCGGGTCAACCCTGAAAGGCAAGAGGAAGAAAAAAGCGGACACACGAATGGCAAAAGGCCAAAAACAGCGCAGGGGGGGAGGGGAACAGACGGACCTCCGGAACCAACCTACACGGCGAAACGGACCTGACCAAAACAGCGCACACACCTAAACCCCACGACACATTACGGAGAGGCACGCGGGGAAATTAGGGACCAAATGGGGGACTAGTTGATGACAGACAGGAAAACCAAAACAATTAATTAAAAACAGGATTCAGTTCCTAAACCTAAAGGTCGTGCGTTGTGCCAATCCAGGCCCGTGTTCAAGTCAGCCACAAGGGCATATAACGGCTTTCAAGTTCCAGCGAATTAGGTGCACGATATGTTTCACCTCACCAGATAACCATCAAAAGAAAGAGGACCACACCTGGAAGTCGTGTGCCTGCCTGGTTCCTTTGTCATGGCATGATGCTGTGTCGCTGTGACATTGCTGCAAAAAAGGAGGTTTCTGAATGTTCGGCACGGCTTCACAGTCACAGAGGTGTATTCCACGAGGTTTCACAAGGGACCGCAGGATCAGCGGGACACTCAGAAAGCGGTGCAAAACGGAAAGGCCAGCTGTTGCACTTTACTTAAACGAATTACCAACTTAAAATGTGTTAATTCGGCAGTCAGGACAGTCATCACTCACCCTAAAGAGGGTTGCCTCAAATGGCTCCATGGCACCATGTCGGAGCCACCATGGAAATCACACTAGACAAGAATGGATCATTATATGATCCGGCAGGAACTGAATCCTGAAACATGCAAATCTGATCCTGAATAGTTTCCACGTCCACGATCTTCAGCAAAATATTCCAAATACATCGGCGACATAGTCGGCGAAATAATCCAAATAATCGAAAATACAATCGGCGAAAAAATCCCAAAAATCGAAAATACAATCGGCGACATGATCTCGGCGAAAATACTGAGGAAGGTTCTGATGCATCCAAAACAGATTGTGGCGACCGTGAAGAAATAAAACTATAGTGTTTGGGGTTCTGAGCTTGGCCCCTTGCTATGTCAGAAAATGCAGGTACGTCATCCTGGCGTCCCAGAATGATTTCACACTTCTCAACAGGCGTCTTCGTTGGCCTGAGTCCTGTTGAGAAGCCTCAGGCCCCCTGCATTAGGTTTAAAAAGGGAGAGGACAGAAGGAAGAAAAAGAGAGAAGTTTTACATCTATTCAGATGTTACACACACACACACACAAACACACACTCTCTAGACAAGGTAGACAAGAATGGATCGTTTAAGTGATCCATTGGGAACTGAATCCCTTCACATGCAAAAGGATTAGAAACAATGACCTAAGGTAGATCTCTTCGATGAAAATTGCGAATAAGTTGAAGGTATTCCGAAAACGACAAACCAGCCAAAGACAAAGTCCCTGAAATAGAAAATAATTGCTGTAGGGTTCTTGGCTGAGCCCTTTGCCATGACCGTGAACATACTGTGCAAATAAGGTTGAAAACGACGCCGAAGAAAATCTCAGATTGCGACAACCGTGCAAAACCAAAAAAATCTGTTGTTGGGGTATGTTGGGGTTCTCGGCTTAGCCCCGTGCCATGTCGGTAAAACAAATTATAGCGCAGGTACGCCAGACTGATCAGGTCTGGTATCACCACCGATTGCAAGTGTCTTCGTTGGCAGTAGACTTGCAATGGTGCTACTGCCCCCTGCAAGAAGGAAGGAAAAAGAAAGAGAAAAGGAGAGGTTTTACATCTACTCTATACTATTCAGATGTTACACACACACACACATACACACACACACACCCGGCCGGAACCGGGCCGACCCTGAAAGGCAAGAGGAGGAAAAAAGCGGACACAAACGACGGGCCAAGGCCAAAACAGCGCAGGGGGGGAGGGAACAAACGGACTTCCAGAACCAACCTACACGGCGAGACGGACCTAACCAACACAGAGCACACACCTGAACCCCACAACACATTACCGAGGGGCACAGGGGAAGAAGAATTAGGGACCGAATGGGGGACTAGTTGGTGACGAAGAGTGAAACAACAAAAATTGTTAAAGGGGACTCAGCTCACTTCAAAGTAATCGTGCGTTACTCCCAACCGGGAACGTAGTCAAGTCAGGCCGCATGTGCATAAACAGCTATTCAGGTTCAAGCGAATTAAGTGCACGATATGTTCAACCTCACCAAATACCAACGAGACCATACCTGCAGGAAGAGGACATGCCTGTTGCCTTCTGTCGCTCATGTCAGGAAGAGGACATGCCTGTTGCCTTCTGTCGCTCATGTCAGCGATATAAATGGAGTTTCTGCCAAACGGCTTCACGTTCGCAGAGGTGAAATTACCAAGGTTCAAAAGGACCACAGGAGCAGCAGGAAGTTGCAAAAAGGCTGACGAACGGCAAGGCCGACTGTTTCGCTTTACTTAAACGAATTACCAGGTTAAAAGTGTCAATTCAGTAATCCGGTCTGTCAACATTCTCCCTAAAAAGGGATGCCTCAAATGGCTCCATGGCACCATGTCGGAGTCACCTTGGAAATCACACTACCCAATAGACTGGCTAAGACAAAAATTTGTCTAATCCCTATTCTGTAGAAATCTGACTATTAGGTAGATTTTTTTGTCTAAGACAACTTTTTTTTCCCGAGAGCGTCTGAGCGCAGGGTTCTTCCAATAGTGGGGGTCTGTATCTTATCTTCTCATCTTCACATCTTCTCATCTTCACATCTGTATCTCATCTTCACATCTTCTCATCTTCACATCTGTTCATCTTCACATCTGCTCATCTTCACATCTGCTCATCTTCACATCTGCTCATCTTCACACCTTCTTTCACATCTTCTCATCTTCACATCTGCTCATCTTCACATCTTCTCTCACATCTGCTCATCTTCACATCTGCTCATCTTCACATCTGCTCATCTTCACATCTGCTCATCTTCACATCTTCTCATCTTCACATCTGCTCATCTTCACACCTGCTCATCTTCACATCTGCTCATCTTCACATCTGCTCATCTTCACATCTCTCACATCTTCTCATCTTCACACATCTTCTCTTCACATCTGCTCTTCACATCTTCTCATCTTCACTTCTGCTCATCTTCACATCTGCTCATCTCTCACATCACATCTTCACATCTTCTTCTCATCTTCTCTCACATCTCTCTCCTTCATCTTCTCTCTCTCGCATCTTCTTTATCTCTTCTCTCTTTCATCTTCTCTCACATCTCTCTCCTTTTTCTCTCTCTCGCCTTCTTTATCTTTCTCTCTTTAGGCCGAGGGTGGTGCCGGCGGTGAGTCACGAAACAGCAACCCTTTCGCACGAAATGAGGGTTGATCGGCAAAAACTGAGGTAAAAGTGCGATTTTACTTGTGCTACAGCAACCCTTTCGCACGAAATGAGGGTCGATCGGCAAAAACTGAGGTAAAAGTGCGATTTTACTTGTGCCGGAGCAACCCTTTCGCACGAAATGAGGGTCGATCGGCAAAAACTGAGGTAAAATTGCGATTTTACTTGTGCCGGAGCAACGCTTTCGCACGAAATGAGGGTCGATCGGCAAAAACTGAGGTAAAAGTGCGATTTTACTTGTGCCGGAGCAACCCTTTCGCACGAAATGAGGATCGATCGGCAAAAACTGAGGTAAAGGATTTGCACTTGATCATGGGTCAAAAGCATTTGATTTGGGATAGGGTTTGGGATGTGAAGAGTAGAAAGTCAAATCTATACAATATATATATATATATGATGCACCTATGGTTCTATTTCTTCATGAGAACCCATTGACATCGAATTTAGATATTGTAGATATACCAAGATATACCGATATATATATATATATATCAATATAGATCCATATATCCGTGATATATGTATATACCTGTATGCACCAATGTATAAATAGATAAACGCATAAATATGTGTGTATATATATGTATATGGCCATGCACGCCCATGTCCATGTATCTATACAAATATACACCCATAATGTATACTAAACATATATGTACCCCCAAATTTGGCCACAGCGCCGCTTCTGGGCCACCACTTTCGCGGGCCACTGCTGCAGTGGCTGCACAATGATGGCCAAGCTCCAGCGCTGCTTGGCAGAATTGGCAAACTGTGGGCAAGGTATTCCGTTTCTACCCAGAACCATATTGTTTTGGGCAGAATTGACCTGCCTTTTTCATTTCACGCCCCAACAAAAACATAATCTTGTCAATAAGATCGCCCAACACCTTTTGACGAACTGAAAGAGCAAAGATACCGACACAACAGTGAGTAGCGCACTCACCAATTAAATGAGAGCCATGACAAGGATACCACCAGCAACCGCCACTAGAACAAGGAGAACAACAACAACAACCAAAGAACACAAGAATATATCACTGAAATATTTGGCTCAGAAACTTGTAATTAAAGAAAAAAAATGTTGTTTTTTTCCGGGCGTTGATTTGGGGTCAGAAAATGTAAAACTTCTGAAGGTTTCAGCCGAAACCTTCGGAAATCTGTGATGTTTTGGAACCGAAATCAATGCCTCGAAAAAGAACACATTTTTTGGTGCAGAAGTCAAAGTGTGAAATCCAACAAGAAAGATCTGAAGGTTTCTATTGAAATCTTTTGAAATTCCCAGGGATGATGCATGGCCAGCAGAAGTGCCATTGGAGATTCAATATCCAGACTTCTGCTGGACATCTAAGAAACCTAGGAATTTAGAACATGTTCAGCTGAAACAGGCAGAAGTCTTCACAGCAAAATCAAGCATTGACTTCTGCAGGGAGGCATGTTTCAGATGCTTTTAAATCAAATCCTATCGTGTTGTGATTGCCATGGATCACGGTGAGTTGTCAGACCTTGACTGGAATCCTCGCATATACTTCACAAACAAGTTGTCGAGTCTACATTGTAAATATTGTTTTTTTGAGTGACCGGAAGTTCTATGATGTATATCTTCGATTCCATGATATTTTGTGATCAAATCCCATGAAACAGTGTTAGTGGCGATTGCTGGTGGTATCCTTGTCAGGGCTCTCATTTAATTGGTGAGTGCGCTACTCACTGTTGTGTCGGTATCAGTTCGTCAAAAGGTGTTGGGCGATCTTATTGACAAGATTATGTTTTTGTTGGGGCGTGAAATGAAAAAGGCAGGTCAATTCTGCCCAAAACAATATGGTTCTGGGTAGAAACGGAATACCTGGCCCACAGTTTGCCAATTCTGCCAAGCAGCGCTGGAGCTTGGCCATCATTGTGCAGCCACTGCAGCAGTGGCCCGCGAAAGTGGTGGCCCAGAAGCGGCGCTGTGGCCAAATTTGGGGGTACATATATGTTTAGTATACATTATGGGTGTATATTTGTATAGATACATGGACATGGGCGTGCATGGCCATATACATATATATACACACATATTTATGCGTTTATCTATTTATACATTGGTGCATACAGGTATATACATATATCACGGATATATGGATCTATATTGATATATATATATATATCGGTATATCTTGATATATCTACAATATCTAAATTCGATGTCAATGGGTTCTCATGAAGAAATAGAACCATAGGTGCATCATATATATATATATGTATATGGAGATATAGATTTGACTTTCTACTCTTCACATCCCAAACCCTATCCCAAATCAAATGCTTTTGACCCATGATCAAGTGCAAATCCTTGGTAAAAGTGCGATTTTACTTGTGCCGGAGCAACGCTTTCGCACGAAATGAGGGTCGATCGGCAAAAACTGAGGTAAAAGTGCGATTTTACTTGTGCTACGGCAACCCTTTCGCACGAAATGAGGGTCGATCGGCAAAGTGTAAAAGCGTCTGTGTGTAAAAGCGTCTGTGTGTAAAAGCGTCTCTGTGTGTAAAAGTGGCTGTGTGTAAAAGCGTCTGGAGCAACCCTTTCGCACGAAATGAGGGTCGATCGGCAAAGTGTAAAAGCGTCTGTGTGTAAAAGCGTCTGTGTGTAAAAGCGTGTGTGTAAAAGTGGCTGTGTGTAAAAGCGTCTGTGTGTCAAAGCGTCTGTGTGTCAAAGCGTCTGTGTGTCAAAGCGTCTGTGTGTAAAAGTGTTTGTGTAAAAGCGTTTGTGTGTAAAAGCCTCTGTGTGTAAATGTGTTTGTGTGTCAAAGCGTCTGTGTGTAAAAATCGTTTGTGTGTAAAAAGCGTCTGTGTGTAAAAGCGTCTGTGTGTAAATGTGTTTGTGTGTCAAAGCGTCTGTGTGTAAAAAGTGTCTGTGTGTCAAAAGCGTCTGTGTGTAAAAGTGTCTGTGTGTAAAGGCGTCTGTGTGTAAAAGGGTCTGTGTGTAAAAGCGTCTGTGTGTCAAAGCGTTTGTGTGTAAAAGCGTCTGTGTGTAAAAGTGTTTGTATGTAAAAGCTTCTGTGTGTAAAAGCCTCTGTATGTAAAAGCTTCTGTGTGTAAAAGCTTCTGTGGGTAAAAGCTTTGTGTGTAAAAGCGTCAGTGTAAAAGCGTCTGTTTGTAAAAGTGTTTGCGATGCAAACTATTGTCTTGCACTTCCCACTATCCTGTCTTGATACTCCTCTTCTCGACTGCCTATGACAGAGCTTTCATATATCGTTTCTAATATTGCGTCTCCATACTAACAAGAGAAGACCCTGCTCCTCTACGCTCTCGGGCCATCCGTCGTCTAGTTTTGTCTAAGACAAATTTTGAAAATTTGTCTTAGACAAAAAAAAAGTTGTCTTAGACAAAAAAATGTTTGTCTTAGACTTTTTTTTTGTCTTAGACAAATTGAAACTACATCAGATTTTTTTCAAACTGCCTCAAAACTGCCTCCAAAACTGCCTCCAAACTACCTTATCATTTTTCCATCATTTTGTGGAGGGTGTGCAAAAAGTAAGAGAAATAGTGAGGCAGTTTCCCCAAAAATCCCCAAAAAAGTGAGGAAGTTTCCCTTTAAAGCATGAGGTAGTTGGAAGGCAGTTTCACAAAACACACGAGGAAATTTCCAGGAAATTTCCTCGAAACTTCCTCGTGGAGGGTGGGCAAAAATCTGACTTAGACAAATTTTATTTGTCTAAGACTCGTGTCTTAGACAGATCTGTCGAGCAAAAATTTGTCTAAGACAAATTTTTAAAATTTGTCTATTAGACAAATTTTAAAAATCTAACTATTAGACAAATTTTTGTCTTAGCCAGTCTATTGGGTAGACAAGAATGGATCGTTTAAGTGATCCGTTGGGAACTGAATCCCCTCACATGCAAAAGGATTAGAAACAATGACCTTAAGAGCTAGATCTCTTCGATGAAAATTGCGAATAAGTTGAAGGTATTCCGAAAACGACAAACCAGCCAAAGACAAAGTCCCTGAAATAGAAAATAATTGCTGTAGGGTTCTTGGCTGAGCCCTTTGCCATGACCGTGAACATACTGTGCAAATAAGGTTGAAAACGACGCCGAAGAAAATCTCAGATTGCGACAACCGTGTAAAACAAAAAAAATCTGTTGTTGGGGTTCTCGGCTTAGCCCCGTGCCATGTCGGTAAAACAAATAGTGCAGATACGCCAGACTGGTCAGGTCTGGTATCACCACCGATTGCAAGTGTCTTCGTCGGCAGTAGACTTGCAATGGTGCTACTGCCCCCTGCAAGAAGGAAGGAAAAAGAAAGAGAAAAGGAGAGGTTTTACATCTATTCTATACTATTCAGATGTTACACACACACACAAATCAGAGGGTTTTTGCGTGGCCATTTGAAACGCCCCCCCAAACAAACGGAAATCACTGGCGCTTTCTGACCCCAATTGACAACCCATGATGAGTTGCAACCAGGGTTTCGACATGTTTCAACCCTGGGGTGCTCAATAGGGGGAAGTTGGTCTTAACTGGTCTAGATTCGACCTGTGAATCACCCCCAAGCAAACCAACTATTTCTAGTTGACCTGCAACGGACTAGTAGGGTTGTGTTAGTTTGCCATTGGGTTTACCACACGATCAACCCCCTTTGGTGGCCCAGGAATATCTTAGCCGATTGCTTGGCCAAGAGCGCTCCCCGCCTGAGTCTGCAGCGTGGTTTCCGCTGCGATCCGGAGCATTTGCGATGGGAGACGCGTCGGGCGAAGATCCTGGAGGATGGGATGATGCGAGGTTCAACAGAGTCCTGAGGTTCTGCTTAGATGGGCCTCGGCATTAGTTAAGTGATTAGTAACTGGTTCAAAAATCCATGATTTAGTCACTGAATTATAAGTCAGAAAATGTAATGTAACTGCTCATTAACTCCAGAGCCCGGTAAATCGTCAGGAATGATATTTAATAATAGCATATAATAGCTAGGCAATATATATATATATTTATATTTGCACAAATCGAGGAATCGGTAGCTTCTTGCCTTGGAGGTAGGCCATGGCCACCAGACCCATCAGTGAGGGATGGACAGCTAAAAAAATACAGTGTCGATGTTGCGAGGGTTTATGCTTTGCTTTGGGTCTATTGGGGTTTGGTTTCGCACTCTGTCAGTTGTCATGTCATGACATGTTATACGCCAGTGCAGGTAAACCCCTCACATGGTGGTTTGCAAGTCATGCCTTCAGCTGGCATTGTTGATGTCCTTTTAACTTTTTTTTACTTGAGGTAGCAAAGTATTTTCGTGGGCCGCTCCAAGCCCAAAACGAAAGAAGGACAAAGGATAACCAGCAAAGCCTTCAAATCTCAGTGACCCAGCAACCATGACCACCCCAGATGAAGTTCCCAGGAGATCCAAAAGCATCAGCCTGACATCCTGGGCCTATGTGAAGTGGATCGCTTCGACGATTTGGAGGTCAACCTGGCAGATGATGGCTATGAAGGCACTTACAAGCGGAAGCGCGCCTTGCCTTCACCCCCGGCGGCTACATCACAATACATGTCTGGAAATGTTTGGACAATTCGAGAAATGCATCAACAATCTCTACAAAAGGTACGGTGTACGTGTGTGTGTATGTATACTATACGTATATATGTATGTATGTATGTATGTATGCATGCATGCATGTATGTATGTATGTATGTATGGTATGTATGTAATGTATGTATGTATGTAATGTAATGTAATGTAATGTAATGTAATGTAAGGTAAGTATGTATGTATGTATGTATGTATGTATGTATTGGGTATTTGAATAGGCGCTTGCTTCTGTAGGCCCGGAGATGCTCATCGGATTTCCGCTCGAGTACCGGTTTAGCGCCGGATCTGTTCCTAACCATAGAGCAAAATACAAACCAAACCCCTGAGCCCACAGCCCTGCACCTCGTGAGCAATTTTCTCCACTGCTGCTCAAAAGGTTTTGAGCGAATCTTATTGAATAGCCGCAAGGCCGCAAAGGAACAATTCCTTTGGAATCTTATTCATTGCCACAGAGTGGCTGCGCCCAACTATATGTTGGAACTTCCAAAGGGCCAATGTCAACATGGTGGTCAGAAGCCCCAAACTCATTGGGAAATGGTTAAACATAATCAATTTCAAAACAATTTATAAAATATAATTACTTTATGCTACTATAGGTGACTATGCTACTATATCTTACTGTGTGTTACTCTCTGCTATTACGTCTTTCTATATGTTGCTATATGAGATATGTTTTCCTATATGTGTATATATATATATATGTATGTGTATATGTATATATATATATATGTATATGTATATATATATGTATATATGTATATATATATATATGTATATGTATATGTGTATATATATATATATTATTTATTATATATTTTTTACATCTTCGTAAACTGTAATATCTTATGCATGAGAACTTTCGCAAAAACGAAGCTGTTCAAGAAACCCCTTTCAGCCCCTCAGCAGTTCCAACCATGGTTGAGGACCAGTGTGAATCAAGCTTGACTTGACTCTAGGAGATACTGCGCGGCAGTGCCTCCAAACCCAAATCAAAGAGAAGCGATCCATTAAAGACCGCTATGGTTCTGGAAACCCCATCACTTCAAAAGGTGCTTGAAGAGCGATGCTTCAACCGCCAGCTGTGCGTCAGCACCGTCGTCATCCAAGTCTTCCCTTGCCAAAGTTGCAGCACGTTGCTTCCTTTTGGCGTCCCTCGCCTTCTTCGCATCTCCTTTCTCCTGAAGAATGGTGGCCTCATCCGCTGTGAGCGGCCGGCACAAAGGCAAAGCAGCAGTCCCATCAGCCCCCTTGCTTTTGCCTTTGCTGGCTTGGCGATTTTGGATCACTGTTTCCACGGCACGTTGGTTGACACAAAGGCTGGGCACACGGATGTCAACCAAGATATCGCCAAATTTGAGGGTCATGTTGTGGTACTCGAAGTTCAGGTTGGCAACCTCCTCAGCAGCCGTGCTAGACTTGACCATCCACGCGGCACAGCAAAGAGGAGACTTCATGGCCACGGAAATGTTCTGCTGAGCACTGACCGGAACCAAGAAAATGTCATACCCCAGGTTCGCAAAGTATGATGACCTCAGAAACTTGCGGCCCAAAATCTAGAGTCCGACTGCCAGACCCGAATATCTTCTTTAAAGTTTTGCTATGCAAGTCAAAAAACCTGCATGTAATAGTAAATGTGTCTCAAAAACCAAATATTCTTAAAAGATCTATCGCCAGAAGGTCCTTAACAAACCTCACCACAATGATGGTCAGAAAAAAGGTTCTAGGGATCCAATGGAGCGCAGCCAAACTTAACCTGTAAATGTATCGGTTGCAAAAACGTCTTGGTGCTTGCGTTCGAGATTCTCCACTTTCAGCTTCGTTCTCAAGAAGGTTGGAGGTTGGCCGTGAGGAGCGGGAACCAAACGTCCAGAGAAGCACAGGCGAATGTCCTTCAAATCATCGGGCGTTGACTGGGTCAACTGGACCACCAACTTCTTCTTCTGAACCCCAACCATGCCATTGAAGTTGTCACGATAGTTATCCAGCCCAGACACCTCCAACACCTCCTGATTCGCAATGAGGCTCTCAGCCTCACTCCCAGCATAGGACCCGAGCAAAGCCCAAGTGGCTGCAGCTGCAAGTCGTTGAGCTTCCCAATGTTGGGATCGCTGAAGGGACGGGCTGTCAAGTCGGAAAAAAACTGAATCATGTTCATCTAGTCCAGCCACAGGAGAAACTATCAAATCGTCTCCAGCTGCTGGGCCGTCGGCCTTTGAAATGAGATTGCTGATGTTGGCTTGCCACTGCTCCCAACACTCAACTTCTGTTTGCTTCTCGCGCTGAACTTGCAGAGCGGCAAGTGATTGAGCAAGGGCATCTTTCTTCAGCTTTTGCAGACTCTCCTGAAGACTATGTTCTCTGGAATTCTTTGTGTTCTGGCTCGGAGTAGGCTGGTCGGCCAAAGCTTCTTCCAAAACGCGAACCACTTCAGCCGCAAGGATGCCCTTGTTCTTTTCCAGCTCGTCTAAGCCTCCCTTGCAAAGCAAACTTGATATCTCTTTAGCACTTTTCTTCGCAAACTTCTTCGTTTCTTGGGATGCAAACTCTTGCCACTGCTCGTCTGATCTCCTCCTCAGAGTGTTACCCTTGAGGTTGACCACAGCCATCACCAGTCGTTCCCACAGACATACCTCAAACAAAACGGAAACATGGCCTCCACCAAGGCCCATGAACATGCCAACCAAAATCAAACTTGTTGGTAAGTTGGTAAACAGTGTCAAAAAGCAATCTTGAACTCTTGAGCCTTAATATCTTGAGCTCAGATGCAAATTCTTCAGTGTATTTGCTCTTGAGCTCATCCCTGTCTGCAGTGACCCAACAGTGCTGCTCTGCGAAGTCTCCATCGGCAGCCCCAACATGCTGCAGCATTTGCCGCAAAACAGCTACAGCATGTGCCAAGTCAACGGAAATGCTCTTCACATCCGGGTTGTCAGACTTCTCAAGTTCATCACTGGCAGCCTGCAAGCCGCCAAGCATGTAGACTGCACGGTGGGACATGAAAGCAATCAGCTTGGCCTGGAACTCGGAGTCCGAATCGCCAAAGGCTAGCAAGAGCGTCTTCAGCTTACCTTTCGCCACAGCAGGATTCTGAGACAAACTTTCCAAAATCTTCGACCGGCTCGTTGTCCTCAAGAAGCCCATCACTTCTAAAACGCCAACAGCAAAGTCCATGTAGCTGGGGTCGAAAGCATCGCAGAGACACTTTGTGACCACTTTGAACACCTCGTGCAGCTTGGCCTTCGTGTCCAATGTCGCGATGACCAAATGCTTTGCAGCGCCACCTTGTCGAATGGATTTCTTCACCTTTCAGGGGGGACCAAGATTTGGGAGAAGGAAGGAATTTCCGAAGAGTCTTGATTGAAACCCTGGTGTAGCAATTCCACAAACATGGCAACATGGCAGCACATGCGCCCTAGTAGGGCATTCCTCCTGGCCTTGTTCACCATGAGTAGAAGAGCCGGATGCGTTTCCAGAGCTGATGACAAAGTCGGAAGCAGCGCAGTAGCAATCTTGTTGGTAGCATCATCACAACCACTGCCAGCATCATTCGAGTCGCCACAAGGCTCAGTCGAAGCCAAGCCTCAAAAACCCCAATGTATACCACAACAACACAACTCGACCAATACCTGTAAACAATCCCAAAGGTCCACCTCTTGACCCAGAACCAACCTGAGCCTGAACCCTGGTTTCCAGTCTAAGAACTGAAGTCCGGGAAGTTGTCCTCCAAAAAAGACTGCAGGCCCTTGTCGCAGCACACGCGCAAGGCGACAGCCAGTCTTTGACAAGCATCGGCGCTTTCATCCGGATCATCATCGTCCATGGTGTTCTCCTCTAGCTGACCATGCCCAAGCGGCTCATCAGGATCGCTTTGCCTTGCACGGAGAGCATGTGTCTTGTTCAGGTAAGACTTGATGAATTTGCGGGCTCTCGTCCAGACTTGATGGCGAGGGATCCCAGCCAAATCGAGCTTCGAGTCCAGGGCGAAAAGAGTAGCAAGGTCAAACGCATGCCCCACACACTGGCTGCGGTGGGAACGACTTGGAATCTTCTCAAGCGTGAAATTGACCGCATTCACCAAGTCATCACCAAAGAGAGTCATACGCACGTTGCCATGCTCATCCGCAATCTGCTCGGCAAAGGGTTCGTCATCTGAATCGTCACCTCGCTTCCGTTTCGCTGAAGCTTTTCCTTTGGCTGCGGCCTTGGCCTTCCCTTTCGCCTTCGCTTTTGCTTCTTTCTCAGCTCTTTTCTCCAATGCCTTCTCTTTTTGTTCTCGATTGATCTGCGGCAGCTGTGATGCCTTGGTGTTGGCCATGATTGAAAAGAAGACATCCACCTTTTCAACGTCGGTTGCCTTGGTGAGAAGATGTGGCGGGCTCCACAGACCACCAAGTTCTGGCGGAAGGTTTGGCAGGGCAACCGGAGTGGTAGGCAACATGAACTTCAAAACCGACATTGCCTCAGCAGTCATGACTTCTAAATTGAATTTCGAAACCAACAGCGGACTACTCTGGAAGAAAAAACGTTTCTTGGGGAAAATAAACCTTTGGCGAGCAAAAGCGATACCAAGACACAATGCTGGCCCATCCATACTGCTGGACTTGGTCAGTGGACACGGCATTGCCCTTCGTAGGTTTTGCATGCTGCAAAAATTTCCTTGAGATAGCGTTCCCAAGCTTGTAAATGGTCCCGGGTTCAATCTCGGCAGCTTTCTCAAAATTGACGTTGCTGTTGCACCACTCCAGAAACTGATCCCACAAGGAATGCTCCAGCATGCGCTTGCGGAACATCGAAGCAGCCTGGAACTCTCGGTATGAAGCGAACCTGTCCGGGAACACATCATCTACAAACTTCTTGACCACCTTCTCGTATTCAGAGTGGGAAGATGTGATTGGTGGAACGTGGCTGTCTAAATGCGAC